AAAAATGAATTTGTTCTATAAAGTTTCTCTATGATAGTATTAGAAATTAATTTCCAAAGTTTAATGAACTTCAGTGATCTCATGAATGGAGTGTTAGATTTATAGAAAATACTGACAATAGTAGTGCTCTAAGCATTACTTGTATGTTGTATCCCAGCTGGCCTGATGAGCCCTGATATTGGCATTTAATATGACTGGTGTAGTGTGGTTGTATTGTAACATATTCTTCTTTTTCTTCATTCACAAAATTCATTGCAGCAAGATGGTGCAATCCTAGTGCATTTTCTGGATCATTGTGATGCTGAATTTAACGTGGAGCCGTCTGGTTAACTAATCACAATATGCTATATAAAGTTACTAATTCTATAAAATACATTAGTAAGAAAGTGACCAAAATGTGAGATTTATATAATTATTTTTGCAATAAATCGTGTGAATGTGAGAATATCCCAGATGCATGAGTTTTATGCTCAATGGGTGAGCATTGGTAGCACTGCACCTATGTTTTACTTTAACATAACTGTAATGATAGCCAAACTGATGTTTGTTGTGGAACCATTACCAGTAAAAATATATATATTTATGAAGAAAATCTAGCATTATATATTCTGCAAGTCATTGCTGGATTTCAATGGTTAAAAACTGCTACTGGACTGACTCATTTTTTCAGTCCTGAACAGGTATGTGCGACTTTGTGAAGTTCACAATTTCCTGTCATTTTGAAAATCAAAATATTTCCTCTTTGACATTTGATGGTTTTTAAAAAGAATTGTAAGCATACAGTCACCCCTCCTCAAGTTTTGAACATCACCCTATAACATATTAAGGTTTAAGTTCTGTAAAAACAACAGCATCAACAGAGAATGTCTTCATGTCATTTTGATCTAACCTGTAACCTTTTTGTTATTGTTGTGTGAAATACATTTGTATTGTATTTCCAGAGCTTAATATAGTTCAAATAAATAATAGTTATTCAAAAGCATTTCACAAAAACATATCTCAGTTTTGTTTAATAAGCATTGAAAATTAAAATTTCATATACTTCATGTATCTTGTTGCAAAACTGTTGTTACTCATATGAGATAGTGGTTTCTATCATTCACCTGTTTCCATGGCTTTGTTGTTTCTCTGTTGAGTATTCAAGGACAAATAATTTGAAAAATCTAAAGGCTACAATTTGCAGTTAATCTTTTGTAACAGTGTCACAATCATGAAGTGTCTTTTACTTGCTTTTTAAACAGTATGTGATACTCTTATTTCTGTTGGGTTTTATCTCTATAGGTATCTTAGAAAGGATTATAGCCTGGTGTGACCAATACAAACAAAACTTTATTAAGTATCAATGATCAGTATGTTTGTTGCACATTCTGTTAACCCTAGAATGAGTGATTTTAAAAACCATGTTTCTACTATATTTTTTGAGGGCCAAATATGATTAACATTGTATGGCAGAGGTATGTGCTCTACTATGTACCCCTCTAGTTGTGAACCCGTAAAAGCACCCCTGATAACATATGAATAACATTTAGTTCCATTGAATCCTGCTAGGGTTTCCTATGTATTTTGTGTATATAGAAATTGGGTGATTTCATCATATTTGTATATCTAATTCTTTACACAGTGTTGTAGTAGTAACAAGCAAAACCATAAAATTACTCAATATGATGCAGAATGTGGATTTCTCTGAATGAATGGCAGTAAAATATGTATGCAGTTTGAATATTAAAGCAGAAAACAAATATTAAATATATGAAGTTTTATGTTTACTCTCCTGGTGTACAGTTATAGTGGTTATATCATTTTGTTTTATAGCTTTTCTGGGTAATATGTTTCATGTAAGCCAACATTGATATGTCATTTACTTAAGTTGTAATAAATGTAGGTCAAATAGATCAATTTTTCTATGAAACCACTCTGTGTATCTAGATAATGAATTGATACGTGGAGGATGGTGCGTAATTCTGTTTGTTGTATTTCTCCGTAAATTTAAGTGGAATATTTTAGGTTTCACCTTTTTTTTTTATGAAGGTTGGAGACATCTAAGGTTGACTTAGACATATATATCACAAAGATTAAGTTGAGATTTGTTTTTCTACTTTCAGTATCATTAAGCCATTTAATATGTGTTCTTGTACTAATTTTGCCAGTTTTAGAGCATACTATAAATACTGACTCGTATATTTTAGTTCCTGTCTTAGCTGTTATATTTACAAGTAAATAATAAGTGTGTCATAGAGAAATTTACTGTCAACACTGTCATTGATATTTATATATGATGATAAATAGTTAGGCTTGTCTAATTACAGCTGATTTTCTTGGTCTTGCATAAACATGTTTAATGATGAGATATAATTAACCATGTGTGAGTAGATGTTATAGCTAAACCTTTGTGTTGTAACTAAGAGTATGAAAGTGTGTTGATTTACAAAATTAAAACAAATATTAGTACATTTCTGTATTTATATAGAAGTTCTAGGTAAATAGGATGTAACCATTGTTGAACTACACTAACTAAGGTTAAACTTGTATTTCCTGGTGCTTGACCTGTTTGCTAGATAGCTCTTAGAGCAAGTTTTAGGGAGATGTTTGGTATGATAGTTATGTGTTAGGATAGAGAAGTTGGAAAATGCCCTCCCTTTTCTGTAATTGTTGCTTTCCTGGTGACTTGAGTAACATAACATTTTGAAGTTATGGTGTAGTATAGGATTGAATATAATCCTAAGTGAAGCTAGTTTTTATTTCCTTAAGTGCATTTTTGATAAGTAGTGTTGTTTTGTTGTGGAACAGCCTTGTGGCTGTCACTTTCGTTTGTAGATGAATCAAGTGAAACTTAATTACAATTTTGCTATGGAGATCTATAACCTCCAGTTATTGAGCTTTTGTACCTTACCTGCCAGTCAAAGCATATCTTGTGATACTACACAGTTACACATGCTCACACATTTTTAGATGTACATTTACAATGGATACATAAAGTAATTCTGAGTAAATAAATTAACCATGACTCTCCATAGTATTTTCATCTAAAATGTGATACATAATTTTGGTGAATAAAAAAAAAAAAATACATTCCAACAGTATGTGGAAGAATTAATGAATTTATTGGTAACAGTAATGTTACCTGTTTTTCAAGTACTATTAACTTCAGTTACATGTGGTAACATACTTTAAAAATATATGCTTATACTAAGAATTAGTTTTCAGTTCTAACAATTTTAATCTCATTTTGAAGGCTCAAGTAGTTTTTTTGTAGATTTCACACATGTCAGTTTTAGCTATACAGTTTTCTTAGCAAAATTTCAATATTCTGAAGTTACTATGGTAATGCAAGCTTTGTTTTTTATTACAAAAAGAATCTCTTAATTAAGGCAACTGCAAAAAAAACATTTGCTGGTGCAGAAAATCCATATAGGAATACAACAACACTCTGTCTGTATAATAAAATTTTCTTAGCAGGCAAAATTTCATAAGAGGAACAAAACTACTGTTCTCTGTTTGTGATTAATTGTGAGCATGTCAACAGCTCTTAACTCAAATCTGTTTCTGTATCTGTATTATATAGTTTTACAAGATAGAAACCTCTATACAGAGTTACTAGATATAGTAACAGTGGGAAAAAATTATCTTTCAGGTTTTTGAATCAGGCTGTAACATGCCAATGAAAATGTTCTTTCATGTAGCTTGAGATAATTTTTCACTCAAATTATGTATCATTCTCTACAGGTTTCGCATTTTCTTCTGTATGGCATGCATAACAAAATAAGATACTGAGAATAAGGCTGTGGTATACTATGAGAATACATACATAGGTAAATATATTCACTATTGATGCAGGCCTGTTATGACCTGGTGGTTAGGTGTTCAGATTACAACCTGCTAGTCACAGGATTGAGTTCTGTCACCAAACATGCTTGCTCTTTCAGTTGTTGGTGTGCTATAATGTAATGATCAATCCCATTTTTAGTTGGTAAAGAGTAGCCGAAGTGTTGGTGGTGTGAAGTTTTGACTAGCTGTCTTCCCTCTAGTTTATAACTTCTATATTAGGGATGACTAGTGCAAATAGCCCTCAATTTGCTTTGTGCAAAATACAAACAAACACTGGGCAAATGTGATAATCATTTTAGCTGATATTATTGTTACTATATACTAAACTTTTTGTTTAGGATGAGTGAATCAGATAGCTAACTGTTTCACTTGCTATATATGGATTCTAGTTTCATTTATTGGTATTTTGTGCATTACTTTGCTACTGTGGAATTTTCTTTTTCAGATTTTAAAGTTGTCATTTAAATAACTATATAACTTTGGTTTATAAAAAGATTATGTGCTGTCTGTTTCATGTTCAGTTTGTATCATTCATATAAGATTTTATGTTTTGAGTGTTATATTTTCCTACAATAACTAGTTTCTCCATCTAGGATAGAAAAATTCATATTCAGAAGCTCAAAAACTAACAGTTGTCTGGCATTATTAGGAAATCTTCAAAGCTCCACTTACTGAAATGTATACTCTAGTTTTATTTTGTTTCTTACACAGTATACCACCTTTGTTGTTTATAATTTTATAGGTCAAAGTATTGAAGACCGAATGAATCAATGACATTGAGTTAAGTTGTATTCAAGACCGAATGAATCAATGACATTGAGTTAAGTTGTATTCAAGACAGAATGAATCAATGACATTGAGTTAAGTTTTGATATCAGTAAAGAAAGAAATAATTTAGTTAACCACACACATTTTGAAATAGTTTTATTAAAATGTTGAATATTTGGAAAGGTTACAAATGCTGTTGATCAGTATTATTTCTTAGATTAACTAAACAACAAGTTAATAAAAACCCAATGATACCTAGATCTAATTTAGCAATAGTAATGCATTTCTTCTATTAAAATGTTCCTTGAGAAGGGTAAGATAAAGCTAACTTTTAAATCTATAATTTCTAAGAAGCATACTTGTGTACTTTCTCTGTACTAAAAGTAAGGCTTCTTTTTTTCTGACAGAAATAAAGCCATTGCAGACTACTTAGCTGCAAGTGGATATATGGAAACCTTAGAAAGTCTGAAAAAGGAAGCAGATATGGTAAGGTTATGTTTTTTTTTGTTTTCACCTGTCATGATAGTTATAACAAATGTTATTCAGTAGTGGGGGCTTTTATTAGTTTTATTACTGACTAGTTTGTGTAATAATGATAAATCGGATTAGATGGTTATAGCATGTCACTACTCTTGCAACATTGCCTTAGAATCTTAGTGTGTGTGTGTGTGTGTGTGTATAACACACACACACACACACACACACACATACATACACACACACATACATACATACATACACACACACATACATACATACATACATACATACATACATACATACATACATACTTGTTCAAAAAGCTTTGGATCATGCACAAAATTTCATCTGCCTTGCTCTTTATGTTAATATTAGTCAGATTTTTCTTTCAAGTCTAGTCTATTACTAGTCTAACATAGACATCTGGAAAAAAAACCATTGTTGCTTATATACTTCTCACATCTTAAAAATATGAGCCTATCAAAATATGCATTCATTGTTACATGTTGTTATTTATAGAACCATATGAATCTAGTTTCAGTAACCACTTCTATTACAAAATACGTTTTCAAAATAAAGTTTATCACTTGCATATCCATCAATCTACTGAGCTTAAATCATCAGATCATAAAATATTACAATTGAATTTGATAACCCAAGCACTTTTAAAATATAAAATTTCTTCACTACAAAAAGCATTTAAAAAAGAAACAAATTGAAAATTAAGATTTGATATATAACACACATAATAAATATAACAAAATTAGAAGTATATACAGAAATTTTTTTATGGATTAAAGATCCACCCTTAGAAATTTGAAATATCAAAAATAAAAATTTGTTGGTAGTAATCTGTAGATACTGTAAGTGAAGAATTACTGGTGTAAAATACTTTGATCAGATTTTTGATGCTAATGACATAGAGAAAATCATTATTCAGTATACTAAATTTCTATTATTTGTCTGTGTACTGAAGATTTAAATACCCTTTCGATATCTAAAATAATTGGTGTTAACAAATTGGTTTAAGTGTGTGGCACTAAAATAATTTGTCACGTTCACGGTTAATGTAATTTAAACATCTTTTTTTCTGTTATTCCAGTTTGACAAATGTACTAATTGCTACTTTTTTTTTACACTTTATGAAATAAACATTATTCTGTTATGGGTAACTCACCTCTTTGAGGATATTATAATACTTTTTTATTTTATTTAGTATAGAAAGTCTTAATCATTATTTTTTATTGTTTTCCAGCCTGGAGAAATAGATAAGAAATATGTTGGACTTTTAGAAAAGAAATGGACTTCAGTCATAAGGTTACAAAAGAAGGTATGAGTAGTACTTTTCTTGGTATAAATTTTTATAAAGTCAGAAAAGAAAGTAAAGAACTATTCTTTCAAATATGAAAATATCTGACTACTGATTGAAGTGAAGTAGAAAGTATGCTTGCTTATATCCAAATGTAAGTAATAAACAAATGAAGGTAAAATGAAATAGAAATTGCAAATAGAAAGAAATGACAAAAATCACTGTATGAGGGAAAAAAGAAACACATTGTCAGTGTTACAGTAAATGGTGTCAAGCTCGGCATAGAAATCATTGAAGATAATTTTCCCAAAATAATGACTATGTTTTTTCTCTCCTTCACTTGTATTTTCAAACACTTGCTATTTTACAAAAAGTGTTGTCTCCATTAGGGAGGGGGGAGTCTTTATTTTCGAAGTTTTGATTTACACCCCCCCCCCTTTAATTGTGCTCCAATGTATAAATAAGTAATACACCAAATTTTACCTATATTGAATAATATTAAGGGGTTGGTCAAGGCAGATGATATTTTACCTTGTATCTGGCATTATATCTACATATTCTGAATATTCTAGATTGTTCTAGAATATTCTGAATAATTCTGGAAGGTTCTAAATTATTCTGGAATGTTGTAGCATATTCTGGAGTATTCCACATTATTCAGAATTCTCAAAAACATTCCATATATGAATAATCCTTGCTGTCACTTTTTACTTCTGGAAAATATTCTGTATGACATGACAGTTTCTAGAATTTCTGTGATGGTAAGCAGATTCTTCTGTATCATTTCAGCTGGCACTGTACCAGTGTATCATTGCAAATGGATACTGCAAAAAGAAATAAGACTACACTTTGGCTGCTTGGTTCAGAAGGAACTGAACTAACTGGAAGCAAATTACTTTTAAATAGCAAAGTGTTGTATGTGTTTTTCTACCATCACAAAACATTAAAGAAAACAGTTCATGAAAGTTCAAAGGTTATGACTAGGGAGACTGCTGCTTTTTGGAAAAAGGTTCAAATTCCAATGCATCCAAAACACGATCTTATCAAACTGGAGAAGCTTTTCTGAAAAATAAAACAAAGCTAAAGAAAAATTCAAAAAGGAGAACTGAAACACAGTGAGCTAATGAAGCAGAGTTTGTCAGTAATCTGTATGACCTCCTTGACATCATTCATATGGATGCCCTGACTCTGATCAAAATCCCAGAAGACAAGGACTTTCTTCTTTCTCAGAGAGAAAGAAGACGTTATGGGTGCATTGGCCAGGTACATAAGGTTCTTTAAAAGAATCGAGGGCTAAGAAAAGAAGTGAAGCAGGTATGGACAGGAAACATTGTGCAGAGCAAAATCAGCAGATCTGTCACTTGTTGGGAATCATCCCATAGCAGTGATAATGAGGTTAGTTGTTGCAGTACCAATAACAGTGATAAGGATAGAGGAGCAATGAGAGAATCATCATCATCTTCTAAATTTAAAAAGAGGACAAGAAGAAATATCTTTCTTGATTTAGCATCAGCTATAAAGAGAACCAAGTTGAGTTACAGAAAGGCAACATTTGTCCTTTCCACCATAACTTACAGCCTTGGTCATGATGTGCAGGAGCAATTGTTAGGCACTAAATGCGAAGGAAGGCATGGATGAACCCCCAAATCACATACAGCTGAAAATCAGGAAGTCTGCAGACATGTCGATTGAAGATTTAGTCATAAAGAACACTACAGACTTTTTCTGGTGCCTTAAAATTCCTTCTTTATTTCTGGATTATGACCCCAAATTATGGGAGGTCAGAGAGGACTACAGGGAGGCACTACAGACAGTTCAACATTTGAAGGTGGTTATGACAATGGTGAAAGGAGTTTGGCCCTTATTGAGGAGAAAATGCTATCATAACAAAGAAAGAATCAAGTTGTGCAGGATCATAGAAGAAGCTTTCTTAACATCAAAGTAGAAATAATAACCACACCAAAATAACAAAGAAATATATCTACATAATTATACTATTGTACATGCAATAATGTAATAATGTACTTTAAATAGATCATTTATAATAGATATGTTTTTATATCACATAGTACATACAATACCAGGCCACTACTGTCTGGAACTTCAACGCCATTGAGCAACCTCTAAATATAGTCCCAACTGGATGAAGTTTGATGTTTAATATTTTATTTGTACATTGTTAAAAATTAGGGTGTGAGAGCTATAGAATTTTTTAAATTGAAATTTTACTTGCGTATGAGGACAACCCTATTCTCCCTATTTTTTATTAGCTGTCAAACCCATTCAATGCACGGAGAAGACCTAAATGGTCGGATCCAAACATCAAACCCCCCTGTGTCACTTCATGGCAGGGCTCTGAGAGTTTGATGACAGTTGGCCAAACGATTCACTATTTGTAATTGGGAACAAACTTTTGTTAAATAATGGTTTGCCTTTCTCTTAGTCTAATACTACTCAGAAGCCTGGTTAAATTACTTCCTGTATGAAAATATACAATTTAGTGATCATATTATTCAAAATAATTAGGTTGTTTTCAAAACAGACATGATGTTAAAAATATTAAAGAAAGGATGCTCTTGAATAATAATGTAGAAGTATATTTTATATCAGTTATTGATAACAGAAAACTGTTACTGTAATAAATAATGTTTTTAAGAAACAATTGAAATACTAGCTATAAAAAATGCAATCATTAGATGGTCATTTACATGTAGATTAAATCATAAAAAAATTTTCTAACTGGCAGTATTGAATCATTAGGAAAGAAAGTATTAAAATCTTGTGTAACTGTATGCCAGGTAAAGCATCTGATGTTTTGTCTTTGTTAAGACTTAATTGCGAATGCTGTAAATGACATTACGTCATGTGATTATATTGATTGTTACAACAATTTTCTCGATATTAAGTTGTAGCCTTTACTAAAGTCATTAGGTTGAAATAATTAGTGTATAATAAATTTTTTGAAAATATGTTTTTCATTCTAATTAAAATAGAAATAATAAAAAGAAAAGGATGTGTAAATCTATAAACACTTAAGGTAATTCAAAATAAGTTGATGTCTACAATACATTATTAACACAAAATATCCATGAATATTCTGTAGGTTATGGATTTGGAGTCCAAATTGGTTGAAGCTGAGAAAGAGTACATTACTGGAGCTCCAACTCGAGAGAAAAGATCTCCTTCAGAATGGATCCCACGGCCACCTGCAAGGTATATTCTAACTGGACATCGAGCTCCCGTGACCAGAGTAATTTTTCATCCTGTGTTTAGTCTACTGGTATCATCTAGTGAAGATGCAACAATAAAGGTACTTAATCTTTCCAATTGTATATCTTGCTGTGGGTTTTTGTAGGAAATATTGTACTGTTCAGGTAAACAATCATTACACTTCACCTATGGTTAGGCTACCTGGTGTTTTATGGTTAAAACAATTCATTGTCAAAGAATAGCAGAGCTTTTCCCTGATGCTTCCCTTTTTTATATAGTTGTCTTCTGGCAAAGTAAAATGTTTATGCTTTCATACACTTTTTTTTTTCAAATTTTTATGTAAAAATTTTAGAAGCATGTAAATTGTTTTTGGAAGTTACATACTTTATTCATATCATTCTGCCAAAAGATACTGTTACAATTATTATGAAAGACATTTGTTAACATTGTATTAAATTATTTTAGTTTAAAATGCCAGTATGAGTAGAGTTAAAAAACAACAACCTTATTTGCTTATGTAGGTGATAAGTATAATACAATAAAGCACAAAGAAAGACTTGTGCTCTCAAACAACCAAACACACCTTTGTGATATTTTAAGGATAAAAATAAGTTAGTCTCACTGTTAATCAATATATTTAGAACTTTTAGGCAATTTTATTATTGCTGCTGGGAAGTTTTGTCTTAGCCAGTTAACTTTTTAAAAGTTTTAAGAAAATCAAGGAAAATTTTATCCAGTTTTGTTAGGTGTGAAAAAAAAATATCATCTCAAATAGAGGAAAAGAAAACTGGGTATTTTTTAACATTAGTCTAAAATGGCATAATAGCTCTACTTAACAAAAGGGAAAAAATGAATGAATATTGAAATATATAAAAAATAATGACATTAGTTGTAGGTTGTCAATATGATAAAGAAAACAGATTCATTGGGAATAAAGCACATTTCCTCTACTTTTACTTAACTATCAAACTTTTTCTTTTTGAGTTATTTGACCTTTGAACTACCTGAAAGGTAAATATAGTAAAGCAATGAAGTAGAAATGCTCTTGCTTTGCCTATATAAAAAAAAAAAGTTTAGAGCAATAGCCAACTGGAAAATTCAGAACATTGATTATTTGTTAAACATATCAAGAATAAGTGAATGAATAAGTCTCATACATAATACAACTGATTGGAACTATTAACTTTCACACTTCAACTGTTAGTGTTATTTTGGCTAAGATGACTTAGTGCTGAATTTATCAAAAATTAATACCTTGGTGAAGAGTAAAGTAGATTAGTAATTGGTGATTTTATTTGAGAGTAGTTTTAATGTTTTATCACTGAGTTTGTAGGTTCTATCTGTATTTTGATTAAGAGGAACCCTAACTTTGTTTTTGTTTTAGTGATATCTTGCCTGAAAGTAGTCCTAGTTTTATTTTCTGCCACCTTAGTTATGATTATTGTGGATTTGTTGTTGCTTTAATGGTTCAGACTAGGCTTAAGTTTGTTATAACTGTCTTGAATTTTTAATAGTCCTACTTTTATAATCAAAGGAAGTACTTATGTATATATATATATTAAAAACTTGTTTATTATCAGTTAAAAATAGTATTATTTGCATGATTACAATGTTTAACCAGGTTAATGTGACACCATATTGTAACCATACAAATAATACTCTATTTACATGGTAATAAACATTTTTTCAGTCCTACCTTTGTTAATGCTATCTTAGATAAGAGTAGTCCTAGATTTGCTCATACTGTTGTGGCTAAGAATAGTTATACATGTAGTTTTATTATTACTGTTTTATGTAGAGTAGTACTAGCATTTTTGATGCTATACTCAGAGGTTGAGAATGCTACCAGGATTTTGGAGCCTCATCACATTGTTAAAGCTCATGATGCCACATCCAGTTATCCTCTATATGACAATTGCACATCTTGACAATAGCTCTGTAGTGAAAGTTCCATTGCAAAACGCTCAGTTGTAAGGTTACTATGTCCAAACCATACCACTCCTTCCTGCATGCTCTCCATAATCCATATAGTGTGGGAGTACAGTATTTTCTCAGTGCCTTTTTTCAGTTGTTCTATTGCATAGAAATCCATAGGGTGTGTATTTGGTGAATTGACCAATATGTTTTATATGGAAAAGAATGAATATTTGTTTTACTCTCCAGTTGCTTAACATATGCAACATATATATCATGGAAGCAACTTATGATTACATTACTTGTGTCACTTTCCAGTTGGAGATCCTTCTTGATTATGTTGCTTCAGGCCTGTGGATGGCTTTTGCCACTGATTTTTATGTTTATGAAGTTTCACTTGTTTACATGATGCTGCATTTTGCTTACCAAGACTGGGGTACAGATTGTTGCATAACTCTCTTTGGATGGGCCTTATGCCCAAGTTGATTCATATTCCTTTGTTTTCAATACCATTAAGTCTCATAAACTTTAAATTCCTAATCTGAACACATCTTTATGATTTGAGTATATTGTGGCAGGAAGGGGTGTTACATATCTTTCATGAAAGTGATAAGTTTTTGGTGGAATCATATTACTTATGTTATAAAATGGCAAGTAATATAAAAAATATAGTTCTGATACGTGGCATTCTACTGGGGCTGTGATTATATAGTGACTTGCTGATTTTTCATTTTCATAATAGTTTTAAGGTACTGAGCTCTTTGCAGTTAAATGTAGTCCTATATGCAAGCTTTGTTTACTGCTATTTTAGTTATTTGGAGTCCTAATTTTGTTATAATCATCTTGGTTCAGTGTAATCTGTTGAGACAACCCTACTTTTAGTGATGCTGTCTTTGTTTAGTGGTTTTTAATATGTTAACAGTGTCTTGGTTTACAGAAATCTTAGGCTTGTTAGTGTTACCTAAGCAATGACTAGTCCTGACTGTGTTAGGGCTATTCTGATATAAATTGTCTTAAATTTGTTAGTGCTGTAGTCTTAGCTTTGTAACTACTGTCTTACCTTTGCTATAAATAAACTGGATAAAGAACAGATGTTGCTCTGTGATAATTTTGTGGTTAATCTTTATTCTGCTTGGTTGTAGATATTGAACACTTTTAAGAGTGGTTATCTTTTTATGCTATTTATGTATTTCATTTTAATTACTTTATCATGATGTGTTGTTATTATCCTTTGTGTTCACAAGAGTTGGAAAAGGACTTGTTCCAATAAATTTGGTCTTATCTTTGTATTATTGTTTTTATGTGGATTAGTTCTTTAATTCTATCATCTGTTTATTCACCATGTTAGAATTAGTACTTGTGTATGCCCTCTTAAGTTTGATTTATGATGAAGAATCAGTACTTGCAATCTGCATGGTTGAATATGTTGTAATATAAAAACAGCAAGTCACCTGAGCTGTAAGTATCAGAAAAACATGTTGAAGTTTTTGAGTATTTTGTAGATAGTGTGATGCAATTGGTAAGGGTGTATAACAGCTCTCTAGCGCAAAACATTAATACACTCAGATTATATATATGTATTCAGATTTGAGATGTAGAATATCCAAGATGGTAATATCCCTTACACTTAATGGTATTGGAAAACAAAAGAATATGGATCGGATCAACTTATGAGAATCCAAGAAGATAACAAGCCCCAGGCAACATTATGCAAGATAATCAAGAGGGATTCCTATTTGGAGGCATTGCCAACAAGGTATGGGTTCACTAAGACAGAGATTCCAGTCATACTACACATTCAACCATCAAATTGGTAGTCATGTTATTCCACATAAAGACCAAGCATCAAGTCACCAGACACAGTGGTTATAGATTTCTGTATATTCTAACAAGTGCTGGGAAATCTTCATTCTTATACACTAGATGGATCATGGAAAGCTAGCATGGTGTGCTTTGGATATGACAGCCTTACAATGGAGCCTTTAGCAATGTAACCTATGCTGCAGGACTATTACTAAGGTGTATAATAATCAAATAGAGAGAGCATGACTGGACTTGATGACATGGACTGTAATGATGCGATGTGACTCCAAAATGTTTTTAATATAACATACTTTACCCTCTTTGTATTGTCAATGTTGTTGTTTTTTATTTTAATATCAAGCTTAATTCCATTCCAAAATGTAATGAATGTTGCCTATGGAATTTAATTTTACCTTGCTTTTCAGGTATGGGATTATGAAACGGGAGATTACGAGAAAACTATGAAGGGCCACACAGACTCAGTTCAAGATATTGCATTTGATCACACTGGAAAGTGGTTAGGTATGAAGTACTATTAGATATTTATAAGTTAGTTGTTTAGAAATATCACCTTTTTTTAAGTCTTTCAGTTTCATCCACCTTGAAAATATAAAAATATACATACTATAACTCTGAATTTACTAAGCATTTCTTCATAATTTGCAAAGGTTTTAGTAAACATTAAAAGTCTATTGTGTGAAAAAAATCAGATTTTGTAAATAAACTATTTCTACTAAAGAAGTGTTTGTGAATTCACAAAACTTTTACAGTAAAAAGAATGAAATGTAATTTTTCACATATTAAGAATAGAAATACTTATTTTCATTTAACTGTTTTACATTTCATTTCCATAATCTCTAAAACATTCTAAATAAATATCTAAAGTTTTTTCAATAAAACTTCATATTTTATCTGTTATTTTCTCTACCCTACAGCCAACTAGTGAATTCTCCAACATACAGTGAAAAATGAAAAGTTGAAAAATATGATATGAAATGAATAATCCATTTTTTCTATTTTAAATGCACCATTTGTTGCTAGATTTTTGATTTAATTATCTTCACACTTTCAACTGTTAACTTTTTCATATTTGTTTTCTTTTAGTTTTATTGCCAGACTTTGCTTTTGTTTGTTTCAGTGGAAAATTACACAATAGGCTGCTTGCATCACTGTCCACCATGAGGAATCAAACTCTGGATTTTAGCATTGTAAGTTTGTAAACTTACTGCTGCCCCACTGAGGACTGGACTTTGTTCCAGGAAACCTGTTTATTAGTCCAAGAAGCCCCCTAGTGACTCAGTGGTAAACCTGAAGGTTTGTAATGCTAAAAACTGATTTTGATGCTCTTGGTGGGCAGAGTACAGATAGCCTATTGTGTTTCTTTGTGCTTAACAAACAAATACTCCATAAAAAGCAGTAAATCACATATATCTAATATCAGTTTCCCCCACAGATAAAATAAACTAAACAATTAAGTCACATATAGTTTGAGCACACAAACTCTTAGAGCTCAAGTTCCTAAGCTCGTAAAAGTTTCAATTATCTTATTTTTGTTACCTAACCTAAGAAGTTTTTAACTTTTGCATTTTTGTTACTTTCGTGAAAAACAAAAATAACAATAAATAAAAATTATATATATATAAAAACAAGAAATTAAGCAGTTATTGAGGTATGTTTTCACATCGATGCTGTGCTTCAGTAAACCTACTTTTTTTTTCCTTCTGTGTTGGTTGTCCAAAAAATAATTCATTTAGCTTTCATATATGTATTTTAGAACACAAAAAACATATCAAACATTAGAATAGAATGTCTCAAAACTAGTATAATTTATCTGGCTTTCTAACTAAACTGCAAATAGGTTAAATTTGTGTTACTGCTAAGAGCAATGACTATTCAATACACATCAAGCTTTTCTTATGAACTATTGTCTTTAACTGCCAAATATATACCCAAATGGTCTTAAGATTTCTGTACATTATAATATGCACTTTCTATTGGCTGTAAACAAGTCTGACTGACAAGTAGAGTGATAATTTACATGAAATGTGGGAGGGGCTTCTCTTGCTATCTCAGCAAATCAAGAAGAAAGGAGGTTGAAATTTTATATTATATGTAGTTTTATAATTTGTTGTAAGCCTCAGCAGCCTATTTGTGATGCTAGAAAGTTCTGAAAGGGAGAAATCAAATACAGATGTCAAATGACACAGAAGAGTGAAGGTTGATAATTAGTTTTAACATTTTCTTTTGAAATTAAGATATTAAACTTGGATGATATAAAAATTTGAATTATAAACTATGTTTTAATTCCAAGTTTATTGACATGCATTGATAGTAAAGTTGTTTAATTAAATTTTGAATGTAACTGTAAAAGGCTGTAACGTGCTTTTTGACCTTGTTTACACGTAGGGTTAAGCTAGTAATTTTTTGGTTAAAGATATTCAGGTCAGTAGAAAGTTTTTTACACTAAAAATAATCTATAATCTGAATTTTTAATTAGTTTTGCAGGTTTTTTTTTCGAAAGCTAATTAAGAATTATCCATCAAAACAGAGCGAAGTGATGAAATTTTAACAGCTTTATGGTTTCTTAGTAAGCATTTATTGGTTATTTTCACACATTTTTGAGCCAAAACTATATGTAAAATATGAAATCTTTTAATTGATTTTTAATTTTGTATGTGTTTCATAGTATTAAGAATGACTTGCACTGTGCTAATGTTGAACCTTAAAAATGTTTTAGCCACATATTGTTGTTAGCAACAAATAAATGTAGAGTTTACCAGATATACATGCCTTTTAAAACATAAAATTACATGTAGAACAATTTTGTTGGTTTAATATTTGAGACATAATTGGTGAATAAGGTAAGTAGTTCGTAAACCATGGATTTACAATTATATATGGGCTATGCCACTGTTAGAAATGTTGTTTAAAAAGTGAATTGGAAGCCATTTATTTGAGTTTTAATAGTTAGAACTGATTTTTGATTCAATAAGGCAGTGATGAGGGAAGTCTTAAAGAAAACATTCTGAAATAAGTACTGATAAGCAAAAAAAAAAAAATATACACCCTTTTAAAGATAAAACAGTATCAGAAGTTAATGGCATTTTATTAAAATCTTTTGATACATATATATAAATGAATTTTCCACTTATAGAGTTAGTGAACCTGTATATAGACAGCATATTAGATTTTGATAGGTATAGAGATACTTGGAATAAAAATTACTGATGTATTTTACAGTTTCATGCTCTGCTGACATGTCTATAAAGCTCTGGGATTTTCAAGTCTATGAATGTGTCAAGACAATGCATGGTAGGAATTATTGTTATTGTTTTTTCATACTTTTGCATTTTGAGTCATATTTAAAATGTTTAATTTTTCATACTAGTTGTATCTAAGGCTGTTAACTCTATAGGTGCCTGGCAGAATGCATCTGTTGCCTGAGAGCAAAATTGAATTAAAAAATTTATAGAAAATAAACTTGTAGTTGTTATTTCACACATTTTTTAAAAATAGTTTAGTGCTGAAGTGTATTCAATAAAAGTTTTATTGGTTTTAATTTTATAAATTTTTTTATTGCAAATTTTGATTTTTGGTTGATTATCAGCAAACTGAACAGAAACAGTGTTGTGAATTTTTAAATTTTTTTTTTTAGTACAGTACAACACTGATAGGAGGAAAATCCAAATAGTCTGGAATAAAGTGGTGCCAATTTGAACAATATAACTTCATTTCAAATTTAGTTTTATTGAGTTTAGTCACTCACTTTTTCTTAACATTTGTTATCATGGTGTTATGTAAATTGCATATACCCCAGCTATTTTTCTTTTCTTTTAAACTGTATTAGCAAATATGGCTTCCGATTTGGTTGAAAATAGAGAAGTGATAAAAGTTTAGCTTGGTAATATATTTATAGAAGATAAGATGTTTGTGAACAACTTCTCCTGTAAATAGTCTTACATTTTTTCTAAACCCTATGAAAAGCTTGCTTTATCATGTTATATTTCATTTGAATTATGATATTGCAGTATGATTGTAAAATATGAGTGTTTCTTGAACAAGATATGTTTGAAAATTGTTAGGCTTAGTCAGATCATATTACACTACCTTATCAAGATTTGTTTTGCTGGTAAGATTGCCGTTTATTATGTAGCATTTACATCTGACTCCATGTGCCAAGCTCTTGTTTGAAGTGAATAAAAAAAAAAGCAATGTTTGTGTGTGTGTGTCTATATATATAACTAACATATATATGAAAATAAAACCTAATGTTTAACAATTAAAAAAGTCAGTTTGTTTATAATATTGATATTGTCAAGATTTTATCTTTATTGTAGGTGAGTTGTCATAAACACAGTGAAATTGTTTGTAGTTTTTTTTTTTTGAAAAAAAAGACAACATTTACAGTTTTATAAAAAATCTTATTGGATAGTTTTACAAACAAAAATGTTGGAAGACATAAAGATATGTAATTGAAATCTACAAAAGTTAATCATTTTTAAAGGTTTGTTAAAGAAATTGATTTTACAAAACAGTATTTTTAGTATTTTTGAATTTCAAAGCTGGAAATTCATACAAATGTTGCAGAATCTGATATTTTCTAGAAAGTTCATCTCAAGTTTCAAATAATTTCATCTAGTAGTTTATTTTACAGTGCATTAAAAGCAACCATTAAGAGATTGTGTGAAATTGTCACATCTGGGTGTTTAAGGGTTAATAATAGAGAAATATGGTAGCAGGTTTCAGGAAGATACTGCTTAAAAGAAGTTTGTTCATTTTTGTTTATACAGGAGCTTTCTAAAAAATACATTTTAGCATTCATGAACTATGAAATGTGCTAATTTAAATGAAAATAGTGTTATGATTGTTCAACAGACTTTATTTACTTGTATACATATATAAAGAAAGCAAACTACGGTAATATAAAATTTACCTTATTTAATTTGAAACCTCATTTATTTATTTTTTGGTTGAATAACTAACCAACTCTTTTTTATGGCTTAATTTAAAATGCTAATACTTTGTCTTTAGGGCATGACCACAATGTGTCTTCTGTGACTTTCACACCTAGTGGTGATCATGTAATGTCCTGTTCTAGAGACAGAACCATCAAAATGTGGGAGGTTGCTACTGGGTAAGTGATTTAGGCAATAGTTATTGAATGAATTGTTTGCCCAAATAGCATCCAAAAGTATTTCACTAGTAAGCAAACTATGGAGCATTTTTGAATTTCTGGAAGTGCAGATGAATAAGCTGTGAGCCTTTTCTTTTTGGCACCCGTGAAACACAAAATATGTTCTCTAGAACAAGTACCCTTATACTCTTTGGTCAAGCATGAAATGTTTTTAATCTTCTGTTTATGACTTTGCACATTTCACTTCTGTAAATTTTCTTTACAATATTGGCAAGATCTTCACAGATATTTGTAAAACTGGCACACATTCAGTTATAATGATTTAATGTCTCAAACAGGTTCTGAGTTAATGTTTGTGTTTAGAAAAGTGGTTTCCACCCATTTTCACTCCACAGATTGGCAGTCTTTGTAAAGGGCTTATGAACTGTTAGTAGTATAAATGATAGAAATTAATAATATAAATAGTTCTCCAGAAAGAATTATAGATATTTTTGATTAACATCATCATACATTTTTTCTTCACTGAATGTTTCTGCAGACATAAAGTTTGGAACCACTTGTCTAGAAAATCTTATGAGTTGTGTGTTGACACGTGTGTTTCGATCAAGTTATTCTTCTGAAAGTTTTGGAGTTGATGATTCCTGAAAGTTTTATTTTATTTGAAAAAAAATCTAATGTATTGTAGGAAATTGAAAAGAACTAATTAAGAAATATTTTATTTTTCTCTTCACAGGTATTGTATCAAAACCTTTACAGGTCACAGGGAATGGGTGAGAATGGTGAGGGTTAACCAAGATGGCTCATTGATTGCTTCATGTTCAAATGATCAGGTACATTAATTGTTTTAATTTCAAAACTGTTGTGTTTATGGATAAATTATGAACTTAAATTGAAAACATCAGAAAATGAATCTTGTTTCTGATAACTGCTGCATTTGTATTCTAAAATATTAACTAGTGATGTCTGTCACGCCTTATTTTATTGATCTTTTAAAAAAATATTTGGATTATTAACATAAAATTACATGCTTATGATCTTGGACTTTGGTAGGTAACAACTAAAATGGTTTTACCTCATAAAAAACAACTTAAATGATGAATTGCTTATAACATGTGCACTTATTGTATTTTTAGAAATGTATTATTTTAATAAAGACCACATACCTTCTTGACAAGAGGGATGTTACTGATACCCCCTCCCTGCATGAATCTTGGTACAAACTCTAAATAGTATCTAGTTGCTACTTATTAAAATTCAGATGATTTGATTTAGTATTTCTATATTGTTTTAGCTTGTAAAATTTCCAAAATATTGCTGTGAGACATTGTTTTGTGAGACATAAAAATATTTGCATTTGTCATGGAATTTAATTTTTTTTGTATTATTAATGATCAAAGAATTCTATTTTTTACCTCCAACGTTCTTTATATTCACTGCCATATTTCTTTTCATGTTTTATTGTCACCACTTCCACTTATATAAATCATAAAATACAAGAGAAAAAAAACTGACAAATTTTTTGGTGACATGTTAGGTATCATGTTTTTGAATCTGATAAACTAAACAAAGATATTCAATAAAAAAAGGACTTGAGACATCTGAATAGTTTGCTGTCAGTTACCAAACTCGCTAAACCTTACTAACCTTTTCCAATATCATGTTATAAGAATAAAATTATTTTAGCTTTCAAAAGAGGTATAATTTAACACACAAAATTTTTTGGGAATTAAAAGAACACCAAACTTAAGTGATGTAATCATAACCTTAGAATTTTTTTATTCACCCATACTGGAGTTCCAGGTAACCAGTGTCTTAATAAATCACAAATTATGCTGAAGTCACTGTATTTATTCTATGGTTGAAGTAGAGAGATAGAATATCTTACCTCTTCTATACATTTATTTTTATCTGTTAGTTCTAGCTGTTTTCAAAACTGAACTACTCAAGTAGAAATTGTTCAGACATTACAAAAGGGTGGTAACAAAAGACTTAGTAAAACCACTGACAGAGAGGGGAATTTATTATATTTATAAGGGATGATAGTTTGTTAGCAAATATAAACCTATACTTTGGGATGGACAAATAATTCTAAGAAATTGATAAATGTATTGTTTACAGGCAATAGTTATGGTAGAGAAAATAACAGATAAAATATAAAGTTTTTCTGAAAAAGAATGTTTGATACTTATTTAGTAAGTTTTAGAGATTATGCAAATGAAATTTAAAGATTTTCAGATGAAGAAAAGTATTTATAATATTAACATGAAAATCACTTTGCACTGGGAGCAGTCAATACTCTGACTCCATATGTTTATGGACACATTTTTAGTAAAAATACTTAATTAAAAAATCAGATTTTTTGTCTACAAAGAATTTGTAATGTTTATTGACAACTTGCCAAATTTTGTGAAGCTACATTAAGTACTTTCGAAGATATTCTACCTTCATGGTTACATGTTGGTTACAAAGTCATTTAAAATATGTGAACCCATTGTGAGAGTGTTAAATTATAAATGATCTTGAACATTTGAAAGCAAGTCCCTTAGACAAGTTGTTAATTTAGAGTATTTGTCCAAATTTGAACTGTCAGTGAGGATGTTGCACTTGGTATCTACATGTTTCACAGTATTTTCTTGCTTTACTCTTTGTTTATTAATGAACAGAATATTCAAAACTATTAGAATTTACTAGAGTAATATAAATGTACAAACTAGGATAAACAAGGTGACAGGCTTTAAATCTAGCCTAGAGAGTTTGTATCTAATTCTTCACTGTTAAAAATACATCAATATTTTCAGACTGTAAGAGTGTGGGTAGTTACTACAAAAGAGTGTAAACTGGAACTTCGTGAACATGACCACGTAGTGGAGTGTATTGCTTGGGCTCCGGAGAATGCCACTCCAATGGTTAGTGAGGCTGCTGGAGCTGATGTAAGTATTTTAAATTAAATTTACAAGGCAAGTACATCATTAGTATCTCTGATTTCTTATTGGTAATGTCTTTTATTTAATAGTTAGAATATCTTTAAAGAATATATTGAATTTCTAAGTTTTTTAATTCTAGTAGACGTATAAACTTGTTAACTTTCCTTTCCTATTTCTTATAGGGAAAAAGTAAATAATATTAAGTCTGTCCTAATGACATCATTCTCCAAAACTAACTTGGCTTCAGAGAAATAAATGACATGTTGTTTCTTGTAATATGCTAAATGTTAATGCCAATTTCAAGTCACCATAAAAAGTACTGTAATTCATGAATTAAAGCATGCATCATGTGTCTTCATTTCAGTTTGAATATCTTTATAAAGCATAGACAAGCCATTTAACATAACAGATCTTGTAAAAGATAATATTAATAAAGTAGGAAATTACTATTTGTAATTTCTTCTCAGTTTTCAGCTTAAGATAGAAATCAACTAGTATTTACTGTTTTAGAGATTTTGAAACTGAATATCACAGTTAGTAAAGCAAAATATAACATTTGTAGTTAACCTTGAATATGAAAAACTTATTTAGTAGAAAGAGAAGAAACAGATAATTTAATATTTAAAGTACATACTATTAAATTACTAATAGAAAATATATCCAACAGAACAAAAGAGGTGCTAAAACTGGTCCTTTCTTGTTGTCTGGATCTCGAGATAAAACTTTGAAGATGTGGGACATCAGCACTGGTCTATGTCTTTTTACTTTGGTTTGTAAATAATTTCTTTATATCAATGCTGTCTATTAAACTGACTTATCAGAGTCTATAAATGAGTTTAAATAGAAAAATTAAAATTCTTGAGGGATATGGAAAAACATTTCCTCCATATTCAGTGATATTTTATGAAAATAAATGAAACATAGTTTATTAATCAGAAGAATTCAGTATACTGCAATCAAATCGCACTATTTAACTAGAGTAGCTCAAGAATTGGCAGTGGATGTTGTTGACCAGCTATTTAATCAAGTCTATCTATTTGAAATTAGGGACAAGTAGCACAGATAACACTTGTGTAGCTTTGTTTGCAAATTCATGAAAACAAACTCAAGAAGTATAATTTAAGATAATTTATGGAGTACAGTTTTTGATCTAACTAGTTTTAATTTATGAACAAAAATGTGATATAAGATTAGAAAAAATTTCAGTGATATTATTTTATGTAGATATGGTAAAAACAATCTACTCTAAATATTAAGTTTTTTTGAGAGTTGAGGCTTAAGTGAACCCCCCCTACCCCTCAGGAATTAATATCATAAGTAATGTGATGTGTTAAAGTTGTACACATAGTTATGTAGATTTTATTTTTTTCAATGACAGAAATACATGACACTAGTTACTTGATAAAAAGAAATATCTTGAATTCAAATAACTCTGTCATAGGTTGGACATGACAATTGGGTAAGAGAAATGAAGTTTCACCCAGGAGGCAAATATGTCATCAGTGCTTCAGATGACAAAACGTTAAGAGTGTGGGATATTAAAAACAAACGTTGTTTGAAAACCCTGGATGCCCACAATCACTTCTGTACCTCATTAGGTAATATTTTATTTTGTCGACTTGTTTTTTAATTTAGTGTGTGCATCTTTTAGACCCAGTATCTAGTGTTTTTTACAGTAGTTAAAAACTTTTTCAGTAGTTGGTAAGAAACATTGGAGCTGTTTATGATTCATATGATCTTTATTAGATGGTGTTTAGGGTTAAGTAGCCTTGTGTATTTATTTGGTGTACAAAAAGCTCATACCACACATAGTATATAAACTTATTAAAATAAATGGAGCACAAATGTTAGGTGAGTTAACTAAAGACATTCTAAGTTTTCCGGCAGTGAGTTTTATAAAACCATAGTGTCAAAAAACAGGTTTCCTCAACACTGTAACTGTTGTGGAAGATTGAGGTTCTAAAAATTAACTATGTTCTTCAGTTAGTTATACCATACAACAACATTTAAAACAGTGTTATTGAAATTTAATGTACATTGTAAACTCATTAAGTAAGTGTAGCAGAACCAAAAAAGGCATATCTCTGTTAGAATACTTTATAATCCATGAACATGAAGTCTAACACTGTTAACTAGAATTTCTATTAGTTATATGTATTTATGGACAATTTTAGTTTGTATAAACATGAAAATACACTCAAGACAATAGTAATAGAAGAGGAAAGATAAGATGTTTGTAATTCTATTCCTTTCAATTTCAGATTTCCACAGGAATACTCCTTATGTAATCACAGGTAGCGTAGATCAGTCGGTCAAAGTGTGGGAATGCCGTTAAGCATGTTTAAGAAGTTTGAGTTGTAAATCTTAATGCAGAAGTGTTCCATTTAGTCTGAACTCATTGTGGATATTTTCTGTAAATCAAGCTTCTTACATCTCAGTAGAACTAAATTTTTGATTTATTCTTCTCGTAAGTTCCCCCCCCCCCTTTCCTTGTGAATATTTTGTCCTGTCTTGAAGTTTTTGTTTTATTGAGAAAGAAAGAAATAATACATTGAAATTGAAAAAGAGCAGCTTTGTAAGAAGTCGGGAACTTTGATATATGTATTACAGTAATTTTAATTATAAAGATTGTGCAAAAAACATTCATTGCCAAACTGAGGTTGTCTGTAGAACTGTTTATCCTGTAGAAAAGAAAAACAAAAGTGAATATATTCTGTGACCTGAACTTAATTCTAGTGTCTAGTGTCCTACTTCATTAGGTATTCTTGATAAAATATCAAACAAGCCACTTCAGCAGTGTGACTTTTTTCTCTTTCTCTCCCAATTTCCAATAATCAGTATTAGAATGTTGGGAAATATATCAGATACTAGCCTTCAGAGGGCACTTGTGTTGTACTTAAAAACACAATTTATAACTTGTTTCAAATAAATAATATCGGTGCCACTTGCTTTTGCACATCATGTATGAAATAAGATTGCATTATAATTAATTATTTATAACCAACAAATCATTAGCAAGATTTTAGATGCCATGTTTTGTATACATTGAACTGAATTCCTCTGTGACTTGTGCACTCCTAAAAAATATATTTATTAATGTTTTCATTAGACTTTAAAAAGGAAAAAAGAAAGGAGGAGAAGGAAGGTTTATCTTCTGAAAGCACTGAAATTAATGAACTGTTATTCATCATTAGTAGTATTGTAAAGTAACAATGTCACTAACTTGTACAAATGTATGTTTTGACAGTTTTGGGGTTTCTAGTTTTACAGAATTTAGTGAACTGAAAATTTAAATCTATATAACATTAATTCTGATATTGGCTGTTTTCGATCTTTTGCAGTATTTTTGTGGTATACAGATTAATGACTTTCTGGCTTCAAAGATATGATTTACTTAAAACTCAGGGGGTGTTAGTGAATAAACTGCATTTTTAGCCACCAACAGTTCATTTGTTAATGTATTGTATGCCAAATATAGCAAGATGTTGTGTATGTGTTACCATTTCACTGTAAGAAACATAACATTATGGGGGTGAGCTGTGGAACATGTAATAAAATAAAACTGTTTCTGCATTAGTAAATTTAAAGAGCTATATACCTATCTCCGTGGTGCAGGTGTGATGTGTCTCACTCAGACCTCTTGAGTTTTGCATTAGAAAAGAGTATGTGGAATATTAAAACACTAAATTTAAATGTTAACTTTCATCCACTTAAGCAAAACCAAGGATATTTTGTTTAATAAATATCTAATTGGTGTTTGACTTTATTGTTCTCTCATGCTTTCATCTAAAATAGAAACCGTAAGTTTGATTCACTTGACCCAAATGTATAGTACAAAATATTTGACCATTAGTTGTCATAAGTGACTTATCTTTAGTAATTTGCTTAGCTCCAGATGTAATCCTTTTAATAAGTTGATATATTTGTTTTCACAATAGGTTAGCTCACCTGGAGTAAAACTGCATTAAATTCATGAGAACATTAGTTAATTCTTCAAAATCTGCTGTACATACCAATAACCATACAATATGTTATGAGACCATTTTGATCCAAGTAATGACTGCTAAAAAAACATTAAATTAAAATTTTTTAATAATTGTAGATTTTTGTTTTAACCTTAATTCATTTTCAGGTTCTTAAATAGAATAACATATCCCACTTGATATTGTGATGTACATAAATATATTTGTTTATTTAAAAAAATGTGTAATTCTCCAATTTTTTATATTTTCACTGAGTGGAAATATGAAGCTGATATATATATATATATGTATATATA